AGGAGCCAAATGGCCACACTGGATACAGGCAGTGGCCGAAGGTGAATCTTCAAAGAGAACTGGGGGTCAACATTGGGTACCATGAAAATTGGATGCTAAACTGAAGATTGTATATATATGATCCCGTCTCCCGCCCATAAGACCCCCCCCGAATGGGTTGGGTCCCCCAGGAATACACCTCTACCTGGTATTTTGCTGGTATTTGGTACCTCTTGGCATATCTACCCATGCAATGCACATACTAAAGTCAAACTCCCTACCTACAGCACGACCTGTTCCTACATATGTGTGTGTGTCTATATATATATAATCCCTTTCATACCCGATAAACAATCTTGCTATATCTTATGCCTGTATACTACCTATATACTATCTACATGCTATATATGCCCTATCTACATTAAACCTGTATACTATCTAAATACTATCTAGAGGCTATCTAAAAGATCTACATACCATCTATATACTATCATTTATGCTACCTATATTCTATCCTATATTTCTACTACCTATCTTATATCTGTACTTTCTTATGTTTTTTGCATATTTAATGCGTATATATATATATACATACATACAATATAAAGAATATGCCTACACATACCCAGTATCTTATACTATCTTGTGTCAATATAGCCCTCACACACTGGACCGCACCCACCCACAGGGAGCGGGGAGGGGGGAGGAAGAGAGAATCCCCACTACATATACCCACTTATATACCTACTGTATATGTATATACTTGATATATGATATATATATATATGTATATATATATATCCTTTACTTACATACCTACCCCACAGGGGGGAGGGGCAGATCACCGGTATCTATATATTCCTTTACACCCCCATATCATCTCTACCCGTGGACCTGTAGACCCATACCCTTTGGGGGGTGGGGGAACAGGGAGGGCTGCATCATAATAAACTTCCGTGTGTGTATCATGTATAGCTATATGTATGTATGTATGTATGTATGTATGTATGTATGTATGTATGTATGTATGTATGTATGTATGTATGTATGTATGTATGTATGTATGTATAGCTATATGTATGTATAGCTATATGTATGTATAGCTATATGTATGTATAGCTATATGTATGTATGTATGTGTGTATGTATGTATGTATGTATGTATGTATGTATGTATGTATGTATGTATGTATGTATGTATGTATGTATGTATGTATGTATGTATGTATGTATCTATGTATGTATGTATGTACGTATGTATGTATGTATAGCTAAATGTATGTATAGCTATATGTATGTATGTATGCATGTATGCATGTATGTATGTATGTATGTATCATGTATAGCTATATGTATGTATGCATGCATGCATGTATGTATGTAGGTATGTATGTACGTACGTACGTACGTACGAATGTATTAATGTAATGTTATGTAATGCAATGTAATGTCAGGTAAGGTAATGTATGTATGTATGTAATGGTATGTATGTAAGGTAAGGTAAGGTAAGGTCAGGTCAGGTAAGGTAAGGTAAGGTAAGGTAGGGTGGGTATGTATGTATGTATGTATGCATGTATGTATGTATGCATGTATGTATCTATGTACGTATGTATGTATGTCTGTCTGTATGTATGTATCTATGTATGTATCTATGTATGTATCTATCTATGTACGTACGTATGTACGAATGTGCGTTTGTACGTATGTATGTACGTATGTATGTACGTATGTATGTACGTATGTCTGTACGTACTGTACGTACTGTATGTACTGTATATACTGTATGTACTGTATGTACTGTATGTACTGTATGTACTGTATGTACTATATGTACTGTATGTACTGTATGTACTGTATGTACTGTATGTACTGTATGTACTGTATGTACTGTATGTACTGCATGTACTGTATGTACTGTATGTACTGTATGTACTGTATGTACTGTATGTACTGTATGTACTGTATGTACTGTATGTACTGTATGTACTGTATGTATGTATGTATGTATGTATGTATGTATGTATGTATGTATGTATGTATGTATGTATGTATGTATGTATGTATGTATGTATGTATGTATGTATGTATGTATGTATGTATGTATGTATGTATGTATGTATGTATGTATGTATGTATGTATGTATGTATGTATGTATGTATGTATGTATGTATGTATGTATGTATGTATGTATGTATGTATAGCTATATGTATGTATAGCTATATGTATGTATAGCTATATGTATGTATAGCTATATGTATGTATGTATGTATGTATGTATGTATGTATGTATGTATGTATGTATGTATGTATGTATGTATGTATGTATGTATGTATGTATGTATGTATGTATGTATGTATATGTGTATATATATATATGAATGTATATATATATATGTATGTATATATAGATGTATGTATATATAATTATATGTATATATAATTACATATATATATACATGTGTATGTGTATATATATATATACATGTATGTATATAAAATAATATTATATATATATATGTATACGTAGGAGGCTTATATATTTGTATGCATTATGTAGGCATGGGCAAATCTCTGGACAATCTCTGACTCACTGACTCTTGTCGAAGAAGCGCCCCCTGAATCAATATCGTTGGGTGATGGGTGGTATTCTCAGTGGCCGAATCAGAAACCATGACGTTTCAGCAAAACTTGCTGCATATATATATATATGTATATTTGGTAATGTTATCGGTAGTGTTATTATTGGTTATAAAATATCGGTAATATACAATAGTATGTATGCAAAAGGTTTTGTTGAAACTATATTATATAAAATATACTGTAGACGAAAATAATCATTACACTACCAATAGTATATAACAATAATAAGCGTAATTTGTTTCAATCTATCGATGTACACGTATATATATATACTCGTATTATATATCTAGTTCTCGGGTCCTGTCCCGTCCCGTTTGTCTGTCTGTTTGTTTGTCCTCAAACCAAATATATAGTTGTACTATATACAGTATTATGTATGTATTATAATGAAGTGTATATTTCCACTTTAGTATGTCGGCTGCCATGAATCTGATTTCTTTGGTGCTTGCATGTTGCGACCAGCGACTTCTCACCACTGAGTCATCATGGCGGAGGAACAATGATCCAAGCCATGGATGCTATTAATTCGATCTTTCTTTTGGCAATTATCTTGGAGATACCCTCATCGTAAAGATACAAAACACTATAGAAGCCATGGCCCATAGAAATAGTTGATTTCCCTGTTAATAGCATGGTGATGTTCCAGTTCGTTATGTAAACATTGACCAGAGGGTATGCGGTATGCTTCAAGATTCAAGATAGTTGAATGGACCACATTTGATGAAACCTATAGGTTGAAAGAAAACCATCTTGTGGGATCCAAGAATGAGCCACCCTTAAGTTTTAGAGCCCCCTTTCAGTGGTTATACCTTCACCACAGTTTGGTAAACTCAACTCGTTGTTCAAACCTTCTTCTTGGTGATAATTTTTTTTGTGAAATCCCAGTCGGTTTCAATTGACATACCCTCTGGTAATTTAACATAGCTATTGAAAATCACCATTTTCAATGGGAAAATCCACTATAAATGGCCATTTTCAATAGCTAAGTTAAATTACCAGAGGGTACCCCCAAACTTTCGGAGCGAACAAGGCTTGGAAAAACCAGTTGAGATTCCTGGAGTCTAGATGTCCAGATGCAAGTCCCGTTCTCATTTCCAGATAGCCCAAATGCCCAACACCCATGGGTCACAACTACCACATATCCCAACCGACTGGATAGGTGGTTTATTCCTTTCTATAGTTTTTGGATAGCCTATACATGGAAAATTACTTTTTTTTCAAGCTCTTCACTAAAAGGAGACTGAGTTTTTGGTGACCTTCTGATTGACGTTACGAGTTACGAGTTGTGAGTTACGAACTGATTGCGGGTCCTCCTTCCATGATGCGCCCGCCGACGACTGGACCTCGCCAAGGGTGAGGGAAGGTGAAGACTTCATAAACCGTGGACGAAAAAATGGTGAATCCCAGGTGCTAGTTGGGTGGTTAGTAAGCAAATATTAATTGCAGTATTTATATATTATATATCTATGTAATTTAAGGTTGATTTACATGATGATTATATTTTATTATAGTTGATTATATGTAACTATATGTTATTAGATGTTATTAGATGTTATTAGATGTTATTAGATTTTATTAGATGTTATTAGATGTTATTAGATGTATATGAAGCACTAAGGAAGCGGGCTGCACATCCAGGGAAGTATGCTGAGTCAAGTTGTGATTCTTTGCCACCTTACCCCACACGTGCTGGCCACTTGAGCCAACAAAAAATGACCAGTTTCAACGGTGGTTTATCTTGTAAGGTGCCTCAAATCATTAGCTAAGCTGGATGGGCTCATTTCTTCTAACTTATTCGTAGGGGACACCACGTTGTATCGGTATCATTATTTCGTTCCATACAGGCTGATACTGTATGGCTTCGATTCTGCACATTGCGAAAGCCATAAAATCCCATGGTTTCTATAATCATATTGTCAAAATTGTCATAAATTGGATCATCCCAATGTTGAAACCCATCTCATTTGTACCATTTTGACAGCCTTTTTTCTACGATTCATCGCTTTCCTATTTTCGATGGTGAAATCACAGAAAGAGAAGCTCGTCTACTTATCATTGGGATTGCAATGCATTTTACCCACCATGAATTTTCCCGTAGATGTCCTTTTACCCTCTATTCTTCTTAAAAAGGACAGTATTGATTTGGATGTGGGTCAAAACCCTGTACCCCCAGTGAACCTCAAGGTTGATGGTCATCCCAAAAATACCACATGATTAGTAGGTTTTGACCCATACCCATTTATTCCCTCTGTGTTTTTTCATATTTTCGGAGTCTCGGAGGTGGCCTGCGGCTTTGCGTTTGGAACTGAAGGGACTGGAATGGCCATGGAATAAATCTATCATTTAGGGGATGGGAGATCTTCAGGATCCTAAAATGGA